CCATAGAGGTGACATGACCAAGGCTAGAGAGGCTGCTCCAACTTTGATATAAATCAAAGCTCATGAGAAAATCGAGTCCTGTTTATAGAACCACGGACTTGTGCTGCTCTGAGGCCTTCCCCACATCATGCTGCCCCAGTCCTTCTCTGATACCATGTTATGGCCTGGAAGGATAACAGCCAGGGCATAAGAACTACTGCTCATGCTCTGCATCCATGGTAGACATGATTAAGTGATGACCACACTCCCTGCTGGGCCTGAAATAGCCTCAGAAGCTGACTCAGCACAACCCTCCAGGCAGCCATTACTAATCAATCACCTCAGCATGAAAGCCATTTGACTTCATTAAACAGAGAGAGTTAAACTCCTCGGCCTAACTCTTCGCAGTCTTGACATCTCTTTCCGCCCTCATATTTGCTTATGCATTTCCCATCACCATGCTGCACTGTGTTCCAGATGCCTTAAACTGCTTGTGATCCCCAAATATTCCTATCTTGTTTCCAGCTCTGCAAACTTGTCCTTGACGGTCCTTGTGTGGAGTGCTGGTCATTCCTGGATATCTGTTCTCTCATCTCCCACAGGAACAAAGTGCTCTCCGGCATGAGGCCACCCAGCGAAAGATATTGTTTGGCCTCCCACAGACCTGGGAAAGCTGGCCTCTGAGTGCTGGCCTTTGGGGTGTGAGCAGAGGCGAAGAGTTTCTCCCCCCATTCTGCTCCTGAGGGTTTGCGCATACACTGCCCTAGTACCTTCTTTAATCTGGCTAGCTGGGAGACGGCGGGAACTGAAGCAACTGCTAGGGGCCCACAGATAACTGTCACAAGACGAAGGTGACAGGGCCACTTTTCAGCTGCAGATCATGTGACAGAGACCTGTGCTTCTGTTTAAGACCCTGTATTTGGGTGCTTTTGGTCTGGTGGCAGCTAGGCCTGCTCTCTAACTACATGCCTTCCCACCTGCTTCCTTGCGACCAGCCTCAGTGCCACCTCCTTGGCAAAGCTCTGCTAGGGTCCCAGGGCCCTCAGGGTTCTCAGGCACTTGACACACACCTGTCACCAGCATTCTGAGCCTGGGTGTGGCCACAGTCTCTCCCACAAGCCTGAGAAGTAACATCTTTCCTCCCAACACCCATGCTCCACATAGCACCCGTGATAGATGGTATGAGGGGCAGAGCTGAGACTCCGCCCCACCCTTGCTGCTGCTGCTGCTGTTGCTGCAACTGAAGCTTCCAGCTAGGTGACCAAGGAGTGATGGTGCCCTGCCCTTTTCATCACAGATGAGGCCTGGCAGCAAGGTGACTGTTCCCAGCCCCTCAGCTGGCCACGGTCTCTTCTGTGTGGGACACTGTTCCACGCCTCAGGTCACCAGCTCCAGGCTGAATGTGGCACTGGCCACCCCACCCAGCCCCAGTGAGTGGGCCTGAAGGAGCTGTTTCCTTGCCAGCTGGAAACTATATTGTCCTTTTCTTCCTTTGTTAATTAGAACTGGGCTTGAGAATGGGTGAATTTCCCTGATCCTTGTATTCATCTCAAGTGGCCCAGGAAGTCCCGTGATGCATACATCTTTTCCCACGGCCCTTCTCCTGCCCCACCAGCCAGGCTACTGCTTTGCAAATGGTCCACACCTACGCCTCTAAACTCCTGGCGAGTGTCCCTCCCAACTGAGACTTGACCTCTGGCATCCCATCCCTGGCCTGGGGGCTCATCACTCCTGGCAAACAGCACGTGTGGCCCAGAAGCAGGATGTGGCCAGCTCTGGGCCAGTCCAGGGCTATTTTAGGACAGGGAGGATCCCAGTAGGATGCTGGCAAGGTCAGGCTACGAGGGGAAGAAGGTAGGTTCTCTGCCCAAGATTATGTGTCCCAAGCCCTGGGAGTAACCCCCAAGGGCCCGGGCTGCCACAGGGAAGAAACACCCACCACAGGACTTGCAGAGCTGGCCACAGAGGCACAAACAGAGCAGGCCTCGGCTTGGAGCTATAGTTCTTGATCCCAAGAGCCAACACAGGCAGGAAGACTGTATTTATTTTGTGTGTCTTATGGTGTCAATTCCAGCACTGGGCAAGATGGGGGGTATGACAGAAAGCAAAGCATCTGAAGCATCCAGCAATCAGATCACAAGAAAGAATCAAATCATGAGGAAGGATTCCTGAATGTGTTGAGCGTTCCCTGGGCATCTACTATGTGTGGGGCACAGCAGTCAGTGCTGGGGAGACCAAGGTGAGAGTAACACCTTGCATTTCCATGTGGTACTTTACAGTGGCATGAGTCCTGCAAGCACTGCAAGGTGACCTGTAAAAGCAGTGTAAAATTTGTAAAAGTACTGCAAAATGATTTGTACACTAACCCTACCTCAAGAATCAGAGCCGCACGATGCAGGCCAGAAGAGAGTGGGAGTTTTACTGGCACATGGGAGGGCAGCAGCATTTCAGGATATGCGAACTCTCTCGTCAGTGTTCCGTGGACAGTTCCCCATCAGGATGAGCTGCTCAGTGCTGTGCTGGACACACACAGTGGGTACTCCCTTGGGGACAGCGACAGAAACTGCTGTGACTAAGAGCAGCCCCGTGTTTGTCTTGAGGAAGTTTCTTTATTGCAGGGGGTGATGCCTCAGGTTGGAGGGAGAGGGAGGTGGGTGCAGGGACCCTGTAGGGCTGAGCCCACCCAGGGCATGTATGGTGCTCTGAGCTCCAGGATGTGAGGCACCTTTCTAGCCCTCAGCCCAACTCTCCAAAGAGCTGGGCAAAGGTGTTTGAGTCGCCTGATCCTGCCTCTATTTGAGGCCTTCTCTTTACACTCTCCTGCTCTGAACCGTGGGCTGCTGATCAAACTGCTCTGCTGAACTTACCAACCCCCAGATGCATGAGCCCCTGCTCTCTGCTCTATGGCTGTCCAGACCCTGCCAGTTCCTCCCTGCCACCCCACAGAGGGCCTGCTTCAAAGCTTTCCTTTGCCCTGGCAAAGACCAAGACCACCAAGACCCTTCAGTCCCTTCTGGTCTCCCAGCAGGCCAGGAGGAGGTGAGGTGCTCTTCCAAGTCCTCTTGCTAAATGTCTTCCTGGCTCACCTCCCACACCACCTGAGCAGACTTTCCAGAGCACAGAGAGGGGTCCTCCCTGTGGGTGGGATACCACTGTGACAGTGGCCATTCTTCTGAAGGCCATCAGACTGCTTCCACGCTTTTCCAGATCAGGCAGGGGAAGATGGCTCATCCAGGCCATGAACGTGCAGCCGTTCATGCCCTGAATCTCAGGATATGGAGTCTGATAAGGAAATCTCTGGGCATTTCTGACCTACAAGAGGCAGGTGAGGAAATAATAGTGGAAATGACAGCAATAATGGTGCTTAATGCAGGCCAGGCACCGTGCTAGTAATCCAGGTAGTCCAGGACTGACACACTGAGCTGCCACCACACAGCTGCCAGACCACGGCTACTGCTCCTGCTTTGCAGACAAGGCCACTGTGGTACAGAGAGGCTAAGAAACTTCCTGCAGGTCACATAGTTGATATATGGAATTCAACTTAGGTAATCTGCAGCTCCAAATTGCCTGCTCTTCATCAGTTGCAACTGCTTATGACTTATGAGGACAACAGACAAAATCACTTAACTGTGGGCAGCCCCAGAGATGAGGACGCATGCAGTCCTCTGCCCAGGCCCTGTCACCCCGCCCCCATCTCCACCTCCTCTCCTTAATCTTGGCATTCCTTCTCCAGGAAGCTTTCCCAGACCCCAGGGCCCAACTGCATGGGCTCTGAGGGAGGGAGCTTCCCAGGGCTTCTGAATAACCTTTTAATTAACCCAGGCGACCCTCTCCTGACTGTGGCCAGCTGAATCGCGTCACGCCCTCACGTTTTCCATGCAGTGTGCCTGGCCTGTGACTCCCCTCTCAGTTCACTCATTCTGGCCGGCATGATCCCTGCACTTCCCATATGCTTAACATCTGTCAGCCTCCTTCCCTGGCCTGGGGACCCTGGGTGAGAGTGAGGAGGACCTGCCAGAGAGCCCAGAGAATGCCCTGCCAAGGTCACCTGCCCCAGTAAGTGTCAAAGGGGCCACACGCTGGACTGGGAGAGAGCCCAGTCCCCCTGCGATTGCTTTCACGTGTTGCCTGGTCTCTCCTAGCCTGATTTCTGGGCTTGCTTCCCCAGCCCAAAGGAGTGCAGCTCACTCTAGCTATTCAAAGGAACAGGGCACCTTGTTCATCTGTCCTTCTCAGAGCTACCTGGGAAAGTTCTCAGGAGCTCTCCCGTGTCAATGGTATACACTTTGGATAATGCACTTCATCATCAGAGAAGCTTTAAATACTTGCTGAGAACCAGGTAGAGAGCAGGCTAGTGATACTAGAACAGGCATCCTGGGCACGGGATCTGCCCCTGTGGGGCCAGCTGATTACAAAAGCAGCATTTGAATTCAGATCAGACTGGCTAACTTCATTCCAGTGCTTTTGAAGGGTGCCTGGTACCTTGTGAGCATGTGGGTATATTCAAGTGGCTTAGATGCCATACATTGGGCACAACCCCAAGGCACCCGGCGAGGGCAAGCAAAGCCACCCAGTGTTGTTACTTGTTTACTCAGGTAACAAACCCTTCTGTGTACCAGTTACGTGTCGGGGCCATAGGCACAGGAGCGCGCGTGGCAAGTGGAGTCCCTACTCTCATGACCTGATCTCCCCTTGGGCTCTGCGCAGCACAGCATGATTTTCAAGACACACTCACACCCATCACCTTCGTGAATCTCACTGCAGCCTGACTCAAGGAGTGTCAGCCCATAGAAGAGGGGATGGGCGATGGGAGCAGTGAATGCATGCCTGAGCAGATGACTGCTGAGCGGGTGGGTGGGCTGGCGGGCCATGCCCACCACAGACACTAGCATCCCCTCATCTTTCAAATAAGAAGCCATGGCCCAGGCGGCCTATGAATTCAGCATAACCACTGGGAAGGACTTCCAGGGCTCAGTGCCTGTCCTAGGGACACTGACCTCATGACTTGTGGAGTGCCTTACCTGGTGGGCAGTTACATCCTGGAGACATCTTTGGGGCCTCCCGTCGCCTCCGAGAGTGGAGCTGCCATTTCTGTGCAAGAAGACAGAAAGAGGGGTCATCCAGAGTTTGTAAGCACCAGGCCCTGGGAAGCATCTCTGGTGGGGAGGGGAAGGGCCACTGGTCCTGGATCAAAGACTGGCGGTTAGTGGCCCTCCATTGGGCCCTGGGTCTCTGGTCAGTAAGAAGCAGAGAAGACCCATCATAGTAGTCTCAGAGTCTGATGTCTTCAGCAAACTCTTAACCCAGCCCCTGGGCCTGACAAGCCAATTACAGCTTTCTGCACCCCGGTGACAGGCTTTTCTTGGCTCACTGCTGTTTCCCTTCCTGGATGGCACTCTGACAATGCCCTGTGTTCCTCTGGTGTCCCTCCTGAAGCCACCACAGGCAGGTGGGCAGAGATAGGGGCTTGAAGGCCCTTGGCACCCAGCCACAGACCTCTTCCTTGACAGCTTGTGTTCACTGTGCCAATGCGGAAGAAGGCAGATAACCCTACTCCCCAGGAGTCCACATACATGGTGGCAAGTGGACAAGTCCAGGCAACACACAGAAGAATGCCCACAGATTGCTAGCATCCCAAGTGCCCAGTCCACAGGGGGTAGGTAGCCTGCCTTGTGTCTTGTGTGAGGATTTCTCCTCACAATGAGGAGGCACAACTATGATGGGGTGTGTGGAGCCAGATTGCCGGGCTCACATGCCTCTCGGACCCTGGCCTCTGCAGCCCCAGCCTCCTGGGTCCCTGAGAGGACTGGAACAGTCAGTGCACACAATGCATGCGTCCCACACTGTGGAAGCCCTCAGTGAGCAGCAGCTATTACCAAACTCATGTTGCAGGCGAGGGAGCTGGGCACAGAGGGGAGACTGTTACCAGCTCAGGTCACAGGGAAGTAAAGGACAGAGCTGGGGTTCAGCTCCATACTCTGACATGGGGGCAGCAGTTAGAAGCTGGCCAACTGCAAAGCCAAATTGGCCTTTAGTTCATCCAATTCCAATAAAGAGTTTAAAAACTGTTGGGCTTGCTTAAGCAGGCGCAGGGACTGGGGTTTGATCCCTGGCTTGCTGCGCCAGCCCCAACCCCGATGTGCACTTAGACTGTGACTGAGACTGGGTGTGGTGGTGCGCACCTGTAATCCCAAGGCTTGGGAGGCTGAAAACAGGAGGATCACTATGAGTCAGATCTGTGCAGTGAGACCTGTAGACCCTGTACTAAATACATTAAAAAAAACTGTTATGGAGGCTGCTGCCAATATTCTGCAGTGAGCTTTTTCCCCATGAAAATTTGCATCTTCAGTTTCTGTTGAACACAGGAAGACCCTACCACATGGTTCTGCACTCTGGCTGGCAAAAACTGGCTGTATTGAGAGGCTGCCAGCCCACTGGGCAGTGCTGGCCCACTAGGAGATCAGGCAGACCATACAAATTCCCCCTACAAATGTATTGTGCCATTTTGCCTCTCAGGATGGGCCACAGAAGAAGAACGGTTATGGAGCTGATACTGGATAGTAGGGAGGGAAAGACAGAAAGCTTCAGGAAGCTCCAGAGCTGAGCCCGGCTGCAGTGAGCTGAAGGCTTCAATCCAGAGAATCACATCTATCTTTCATAATCAAATTCTAAGGGAGGCTTAATAGTGACATCATTAGCTGCTCAAGGAGACAGACTCAAGCTGAGAGACCTGCCAATGGCCACACAGCCAGTGCCATGGATCTGAGCTGTGCACCCGCTCTGAGTCCACTCTGTTCAGGTGGAGAAACATGAGTACAGATGTCCCTGGTGAGTAGCACAGGGACAGACAGGTGGAAGGGGGCTCTGAGGCCAGCAGGGAGTTAGAGGTCAAAGAGATAGGAAGTGCATGAACATTCCCTCACTTAGCGGGGAGGGGGGCACCCAGTGGTAAGGCAGGTGGATGTGAAGGCCAGACTAGAGCTGGGCAGAGCGGCCACTAGGCCAACCGTGACCCCAGCACAAAGTCTGGTGGAAGAGCCTGACACCCAGGTCTGAGTCAGGCTTGTGAATGGCACCTGGCAGGAAGAGACTTCAGTAGCCTAGTCCCATACCCCTTCCTACCAACAACCTGAAGCCCTGTACCCCCAGGGGGCCTGTGACATGGGTCTGCTAAAGGGATAGAGCTAGTCAGTGACCCACAGGCCATAGCCTGTGTTCACAACAACTTAGCCTGGGGTGATGACCAACAGGCTCTAGGTGCTAACAGAAGTGCTCATGGTGGCTCCACTGTCACCAGCCAGACCATCCTTCTGTGTCTGTGACATTGTGTGCCCTTTTGCATCCTTCTGGTCTGTGCGCCCTGCCACAAGCAACCCCTCCTTCTCCCCTGATCTCCCTACCCTGCCTTAAAGGCCCCACAGGCTAGCCAGCCCCTGCTTTCCTGCTGTGTTGGCTTCTGCCTCCGCTTCCATGGGAGCTACCCATGGCTTCTGGCAAGGTACACAGTTGCCAGATATGGTGACAGTCCCATGGGCAGCGTTTGCTTGCTCCTCGTCCAGAAAACTCTTCTGGTACTTGCTTCCCAAGAGGCCAGCTCTCTCCATTCACCTCTTCTGGTCCTGGCTGGACCCTGGGTTCTCTTCATTGACTCCCCTTGTCTAGCTGACACCTAAATCTTGTAGGCCACCAGGGTCACCACCCAGGGCTGCACCTCCTGCTGCTAGGCCCCAGCTCCCTCAAGGGCCTTGCCTGGTCTTGGGCCATCTTTTTTTTTTTTTTTTTTAGTATTTTTTTTTTAAATTTTTAAATATTTATTTATTTATTGTGTGGCCAGCTCAGCCCACCAGGGGGCGGGTGGGCCGGCATGTGGTGCTGGGGGATTGAACCGAGGTCTCTGTGCTTTGCTTGAGCTTAGCTTGTTCTAAGTAGGTGCTTTAGACCACTGAGCCATCTCACCAGCCCTCTTGGGCCATCTTGACCTCCCTGCAGAATCCCAGGGCGTACATTTGTGGCTGCTGCATGTGTCCACTCACGGGCCTTTCAGACCTAACACTGCGAATCTGAACTCCACGGCTTGCTTCCCTGCCCAGGCCCAGCTTCCCATGGGCTTCCCCTCCCAGGAAGGGAGTGGTACTCGCATCCTGCCCGGTGCCCACCTCATCAACTCTGCTCCGATTACTGTGACAACCTTCCCACAGGTCCCCCTGCCTCTGCCCACGCCCCACAGCAGCCAGGCCGATAACACAGCCTCTCGCTCTGTACCCAGCAGCCTTTCCCCTGCCTCAGGCCCTCTGCACGCTCTGGCCCTTCTGCCTGCAGTAGCCGTTCCCACCTGGCATGTTCCTGATAAAGTCTTCCTTACTTTTTAAACCCTGTCCCCAAGTTCCAGTCCCCTTTCCTGACTCATTTCCTCCTTAATTTATTTATTTGTATATTTTGCATATTTATCTTGCTTAGTTCCCCTTTCTACCATTGGAAGGTAAATTTCACAAGGATGTAGATACTCTGGGTTTTTTTTATTCTCTGTCATGTTCCCAGTACTTAGAACATGGCTTGGCATGTGACCAGTGCTCAGTGAGTCCTGGCTGTTTACAAGCTGGGTGACGTCACATGAAGCTAGGACTCCTGGTTGGTCTTGTATGGCGGGAGGGTTGGCAGCTGTAGGCGGGGTGGTGCTGTGTGCTGGCTGCCCCCTCATAGACAGCAGCATCTTTCTCCTGGCTGGCTTCACCTGTCTAGGCAATGGCTTGGATCCTTGGGTGCGCGAGTTTGAGAGCCTGAGTTAGAAGTCTCCAGGTTGAGGCTCAGGAGAGGGTGGGAGCTCTTCCCAGCCCCTGGATGGACCCCTGCTGCCCTGAGACCACAAGCCTTCCTGCTGCTCCCCCGCAGGCAGCCAGGGCCTCAAGGAATGCCCCGCATGGCGGAGCTGAAACACCACCCGCCCGATGGGCCGAAGCTATTAAAATGCCTGTATCAGTATCAAAGGGAAAATGCCAGGCGGCCACTAGCTCCCCCAGAGAATGCAGTTCCAGCCGGCCTTGGGTTTAGGGGCCACTCCCTCCCCGTGTGCCAGCCTGAGGGCTCTTAAAGGGACCTGGTTCCACCTGGTCCCTGTCCTACATGGGCCAGACCCAAGTTGTGGTGTGGGGAATAAGAGGAGTAGCCAGGCGTGCTCTGCTCTGCACAATGTTACTGAGAACCTGGCCCTGCCTTTGTGGAACCTGCAAAGCAAGGGTGTTGGCCCCTACCAGTTTCTGAAGGGACATGGAGACAAAATAACTAACAGAAGTGAGCACCACAGTGACCAGGAAGCACTGCCAATTATGATCATAGGTACAAGCAACGAGTCCTGTGTACCACACGCTGGGTGCTTTGGAGAAAGTGTCACTTAATGGTTAGTTTTTGATTAGTTTATGAGCCTATTAAAATCCACTTGTCCTTGGGACCTTCTCTGGTGTTGGCACAGGTGGCCCCAAAACTTAGGAGCATCCATCCTGTGTAGGCTTGGCAGTGTGGACAGGACCTTGAGCTACTTAGGCAGTGCCAGGCCCGGGTACTGCAGGCTACTGTGGAGGTCCTCACTCACTAGTTACCTGCTAGTCCATGCAGCAGATGGGAAGAGAAAACCAGAAAGGCATCAGGCACGAGGCAGCACAAGCCCTGCCTACAGGAGGTGTTCTCAGTGGCCAGCGCAGGCCGCATTTGTCTGTGTCCAAAGCTGCTGCAAGGTCTGCCTCTTGCACTTGCCATGGAGGGGATGGCATGGGCCCTGCCCACCTGGCCACGTCGAGTGTGCCACTGAGCAAGCGGCCATGTGCCTGGACTCACCATGCCTCTCTCTGTTCTGGGAAACCCAGATTTGCTTTCTAACCCTGAGACCAGAAGCTAAATAAGAGCAAGTACCTGTGGACGTGACCATGGTGGGCAGGCATAGCTTCTGCACCTGCGCAGTGCCCCGATCCCAATGCCAGGCACTGGGCAGGGCTCGTTCCATCTAAGGGAGCAGTTATGCTATTAAATTCTGGACACTGAGCCCTCTGGGGTGAGCTGGGCCTGGGGCGGTTGTCTCTGCTCCACACTAGAACAGAATC